TACCCTGAATGGACAGAAAAGTACCAACTTACCTCTAGCAAATCAGCAAGAAAACGGACACACAAATCAACCTTATGCAGACTAGATGGGAGGTTTGTTTGTGGATCCTCTAGTACTGAAGTACTTATTGCTTTTACCTGCTTGGCATCTGTGCCATCACTTTCTTCAGGTAGCAGACTCATCCTCTAGGCAGAGAAAAGGCATATGTCAATGATAGGCCAATCCTAACACCTCACCCACAGAGAGTAGGCCACCAGTGGTCATGGGCATGTACAGATTCTATTCCCCAAGAATTGCAATCTTGAATGGAGACATGTAGCAACAATTTAGAATGAGGATACCTTATGAAAACATCCTAAAGAGAAATTCTGTGAAGTGCCTGGGCTGTTCTAGTATCTATTCTTTCCAATCTAGGTAGAGCAATTAGACAAGAAATAAAAGGTACCGAAATTGGAAAGGAAGAAGTAAAACTTTCTCTATTTGCAGATGGTATGATCTTATATGTAGAATTTCAGGATACAAAATAAACATGCAAAAATCAGTTTTATTCCCAGACCCTAGCTATGAACAATATAAAAAGGAAATTTAAAAAAACAATTACAATTTAGTCATGGGGATGTATATACAGCATGTGATTATAGTTAATAATACTGTGTTCATATTTAAAAGTTGCTAAGAGAGTAAATATTTTTTAAAACTATATTTTTATTGATTTCAGAGAGGGAGAGAGAGATAGAAACATCAATGATGAGAATCATTGATTGGCTGCCTCCTGCACACCCTCAACCAGGGATCAAGCCCACAACCGGGGGAATGTGCCCTGTCTGGAATTGAACCATGACCTCCTGGTTCAAAGGTTGATGCTCAACCACTAAGCCACACTGGCTGGGCATGAGTAAATCTTTTTTAAAATTTATCTTTATTGTTGAAAGTAAGAGAATAAATCTTAAAAGTCCTCATCATAAGAAAAAATTGTAACTATGTACTAGTATAGGGATTTATTGTGGGGATCAATGTATACAAATATCAAATCATTATGCTGTATACCTGAAACAAATGTTATATATCAATTATATCTCAATAAAAATTGCTTGTATATATACACTCTTAATTTAAAGCAAGCTAAAAAAAAAGAAAAGAATTTCATTTATAATAGCAACAGAAAGAATAAACTACTTGGGAATACATTTAGCCATGGAGATGCATGACTTGTATATTGAAACTATAAAACATTGCTGGATGAAATTAGAGACCTAAATAAATGGAAAGTCATCCCATGTAAGATGTCAGCACTACTCAAAGTGTTCTACTGATTCAGTGTGATTCCTAACAAAATCCCAATTTTCTTTTTGCAAAAATGGAAAAAAAGTAAGTTTATTTTATCCATTCTAAATTTTCCAATATGATCACATTTAAAAACTATTTTTTAGATCACATAAGGAATCAGTGAAAAATAAGTGGTACTTAAAAATGACTTTATGGAAAACAGTATGGTGGTTCCTCAAAAATATTAAACATACAATTACCATATGATCCAGCAAGTCCACTTCTGGGTATATACCCACAAAAATTGAAAACAGGGACTTAAACAGATAGCCAAAACTCGAAGCACCACAAGCGTTCATCTAAAGGTGAATGAATAAACAAATGTGATATACCAGGTATGTGTGTATATATATGATTTGTTTATTCATTATGTATGTGTAATAGAATATTATTCAAAAAGGAATTAAGTTCTGCCCTGGCTGGTGTGGCTCAGTTGGTTGAGCATTGTCTCATACACAAAAAGGTTGCTGGTTTGATTCCTGGTTAGGACACATGCCCAGGTTGAGGGTTCAGTACGTGGTGGGGGTGTGTACGGGAGGCAACCAATCAATGTTTCTCTCTCACATCGATGTTTTTCTCTCTCTCTCTCTCCCTTCTATCTTTTTGTTTTTATTTTTATTTTTTTTAGTTTTTCAAAATTTATTTAATAACCAATTTAAGTTAGATTTAGGTTGTTACAATGAAGTCTTTTTTTTCTTCTTTTTTTTGTGGTAACTTTATTTATTTATTTATTTATTTATTTATTTAAATTTTGTTTTATTGCTTCAAGTATTACAAAGAGTAGTACATATGTTTCCTTTTTTTTTCCCCCTTGACCTTTCCCCGGCCTCCCCTACCCACCAGTGTCTTGTGTCCATTGGTTATGCTTATATACATATCTTTTCGTTTTTATAGTTAAATTGTTTAATCAGAGCAGTGTTACAATCCTAAATTAAAAGAGCCCCAATGTTTGCAACGTGGCCTTGCTTCCATTCCGAACCTGCCTTTTTTATCTGTAAAAGGACAGCATTTCATTTAAAAGGACTCAAAATGGAGTGACTGATCTCATCACCCATGGTTTTATGCAACCAATGAACTCCCTGAATGGATATTACTTCAGCATCGTCTCCCTTATATCTTAAAAAAAATATTTTTAAGCATATTTTAAAAAGAAATGAAGTTCTGACACATGTAACAACATACATGAACCTTGAAAACATGCTAAGTGAAATAAGTCAGACACTAAAGGAAAAAATATTGTATGACTGTGTATGATTCCACTTATATGAGGTACCTAGAATAGTCATATTTATAGAAACCGAAAGTAGAATAGAGGTTACCAGGGGTTGGGAGGGTGAGAGAATGGGGAGCTATTGCTTAATGAGTATAGATTTTCTGTTTGGGATTATGAAAAGTTTTGGAAATGAATAGTGGTGATGGTTGCACAATATAGTGATTGTAATTAGTGCTGCTGAGTTGTATGCTTAAAAATGGTCAAAATGGGGAGAAAAAGATGACTATTTTTTCGAAGATTTGTAAGCTATTTCAACATCTAATTTCTCTTTTGTCTCTTATCACGTAGCATTTTCTATTTTTTAAATCCAAAGGAATTTAATGCAATACACCATCACTACTTTCCCCTTAAATAGGAATCCTGAGTAATCATTAGATAAGCCTTTATATTTGTGGATTTCAGAGATCCATAATGTTGATTCAGTAGATTTTATAAGGAATTGGCAGAGGGCAGACTAGGGGTTATCAGGACGTGAGGGAGGAGAGGGGCTCTGCAGAAAGAAAGGCTGTGCTCTTCTAAGTGAAAGGGACATATGAGAAAACTTTACTCATACATAACAGTATCAGAAAATAGGCGGCCTATCAATTGTTACTATTTCAGGGAGGATGGTGGGGACCCCAAAAGATTTAACGAAGGAGAAGTCAAGTAGTAATCTTAGAAGTAGCTGGATCTCCCTTGAAAAAGCCAAAGTACAGGAAATTGGTGAAAGGCCTTGGCTGGGTTGCTCAATTGGTCAGAGCATCGTCCCAATACACCCAGGTTGTGGGTTCATCTCCTGCCAGGGCACACACAAGAAGCAACCAATGAATGCATAAACAAGTGGAACAACAAATCAATCTCTCAAAATCTCAATCTCTCTCTCTCTCTCTCTCTCTCTCTCTCTCCCCCCCCCCCAATTAAAGACAATGCCACTGCAGCACCTCTTTTTTTTTTTTAAATATATATTTTATTGATTTTTTTACAGAGAAGAAGGGAGAGGGATAGAGAGTTAGAAACATCAATGAGAGAGATCGATCAGCTGCCTCCTGCACGCCCCCCAGTGGGGATGTGCCCGCAACCAAGGTACATGCCCTTGACCGGAATCGAACCTGGGACCCTTGAGTCCGCAGGCCGACGCTCTATCCACTGAGCCAAACCGGTTCGGCTGCAGCACCTCTTATGAATGAATTGACCATCACTTCATCTTTTCATCACTCACTGAAATTTCTGAGTAGGAGCACTTGTTTGGCCTTGTGTTCTGGCTGCTGAGAAGGGGAAAGACGAAGGAAAGATTTGCCTCTGGTTTCTGTAGTGGGAGATGAGCTCCTACTGCGCCATGAAAGAGGTTGGATAATGAACGGGGGTTGTGGGGAGCTTACTTGTCTGGAATAACCATGACAAATTTTGTTTTTCTTTTTCTTTTTGCAAAGAGAGAAAAGTAATTCAGATGCTATTGTCTGCAAAGTGGAAGTTTATATGCAAGGTAAATTTTTCCTCTCAGGCCCTGGGAAGTTAGTGTCACAACTTCTTATTGTGGACCTTATCCCAATTGAGTTTCTTTTTAAAAAAACAAACAAATGTTTTTATTGATTTCAGAGAGAGGAATGGAGAGGGAGAGAGAGATAGAAATATCAATGATGAAAGAATCGTCAATTGGCTGCCTCCCATACAGGGAATCGAACTGTGACCTTTTAGTTCATGGGTCAATGTTCAACCACTGGAGCCACACCACCCTTACCAATTGAGGTTTTTGTTTTTGTTTTTTGTTTTTTTAAATATATTTCTGTATTGATTTCAGAGAAGAAGGGAGAAGGAGAGAGAGATAGAAACATCAATGATGAAAGAGAATCATCGATTGGCTGCCTCCTGCACGCCCCCGACTGGGGATCAAGCCTGCAACCCAGGCATATGCCCTTGGCCGGAATCGAACCTGGGACCCTTCAATCCGCAGGTTGACGCTCTATCCACTGAGCCAAGCCGGGCAGGGTAGTTTTTTAAAAAATTTATTTATTAACTTGGGAGAGAGAAACATTGATTTGTTGTTCCACTTATTCATACATTCATTGGTTGATTCTTGTATATATGTACCCTGGCGATTGAACCCACAACCTTGGCATATGGGGACAATGCTCTAACCAACTGAGCTACCGAGCCAGGGCTCCCAATTGAGTTTTAACTCAACAAGTGGTGTGCTCTGAGTATACGGAATGGACTGATAAGACTTACAGCAAATCTAAAACAAGCTCTTTCTTGAACTCTCTTCACTGACCCCAACAATGCTCAAATTCTGCTATGTTGGTACCTAACCTGTGGATTTAGATTGCTTTAGATTATTGAAAACCACTATTTTTTAGGAAATGAAGTTTTGTGGACTAGGGACTTATGGTGAAACATTTTTGTGTGTCCTAAAACTCAGGAAAAAAACTTTGTACAGTGGTAGTATCATAGTGAATGAGGTTTATTCAACATGCGATTATTGCTAACTGAAAACTTTTCCCAATACCCCATCATGACGACTTGACATATAGTCAGCATTGGCAATTTTTGACAGTCTCTATAGAGACTGAATAAAAAAAATAAAAGTAAAAATTCAGGAAAAGTACAGAATTAGTTTGGAATATTCTGGGAGGAGCTGGCAAGTCCACAGTGGGCCTAGTGAAAGATAAATAGAGCTGCAATTATCAAAGAAAGAACCCTGACAATAAGCTGGCACCTCTCCAGTTAGAGCCCTCAGTAAGAATTGGGAAAGGAGAAATTTGGGGATTTTAATTCTTTGGGAGTAAGAAGGGGGAGATCTATTTTGGAAATAAATATCAATTTCTCTCCAAATATAAGGGAAAGAGACCATTCTATTAAATTTCAAATGTTATGATTTTAAAAAATAGCTGGCATAGTATTATTTGGGTGGTATCATCCAATAAACAAGTTTTGAAAATTTAATTGAGCAGGAAATAAGGTGTGAGATTTCATGTAGTATATAATGTGGCTGTTGGATAAAAAGTGAATGTTCTGCTTTGACCCATTTCAAAGCTTTAGAGACCAGTATGAAAGAGGCATTCATAGAGACCTTGAGGAGCTAGACTACTTGTCTTAGTTGCTTTAGGCCAGTGTCTGGGAGGCTGGCCCAGGATGTGTGGGCAGGACTAGTCTGACATTACCTTGATCTCCTCCCCTGGAACATCCAAAGGGTACACTGTGTTCCAGGAAAAAAATGATACAAAATGATCAGCACAGAACAAATTCTGAAAAATTTTCCTACAGGACTGCAAGTCTGATGAGATACTAGAAAACATTAAAAACACGAACTGAACACGTAAAAATTTAAGCTACTTACTCAGAGGCTAAATAAAAATCACCATAAATACAAATGACAAATCAGAAAAAATATATTTGCATCACTTGATAAAGGGTTGATATTCTTAATATATATTATTAAAAGTAAGTCATTCCCTGGGTTGGGGGGAGGGGGATAAAAATGTAAATAGGCAGCTCATAAAACATAATAAACAAATAGCTAATAACATGAAAAGCTTTCAACTTCACTAATAATTTAAAAGTACAGATACATTCAGCAGTAAGAAAAAGTTTATACCTACTAGGGAGGCAACAATATAAAAGATCAATTACACCCAATGAATTTCCACATTATGGAAATTAAGCAATCAGATCTTGTTGGTGAAAATGCAAATTGTACAGTTTTTTTGGCATGGTTATATGACAATGCCCATCAACCTTTACAATGTGTATTCCTTTTAAAGCATATAGTAGCTCTATTAGAAAAGTACCTTACAGATGTATTCATACAAATAGAAAAAGATATATGTATAAGGTTGTTCATTACAGCAATATAATGGGAATACTTAAGTTCAATGTAAGTATCTAAACCAAAGGGAAACATTTACATAAAATGGTAAACATCTTTCTAATGGAAGATTCTGGAGCCATTAAAAATAATGAGATCGAGGTCTGGCCGGTGTGGCTCAGTGGTTGAGCATTGACCTATGAACCAGGAAGTCATGGTTCAATTCTAGGTTAGGGCACATGCCCAGGTTGCGAGCTCGATCCCCAGTAGTGAGCATGCAGGAGGCAGCCGATCAATGATTCTCATCACTGATGTTTCTATCTCTTTCTCCCTCTCTCCTCCTCTCTGAAATCAATAAAAATATATTTTAAAAAAAGAAAAATGAGATCAATATCATTTTACTGCATTATTGTTCAACTTAATAAATTATCACAAAGCCCTTACACCCATTAACAGCCCAGAGCCCCTTGATGTATTCTCCTAGTCCTCTCCAGAGGTAACCACTTCCTGATTTCTATATCTATAAGTTAGTGTTGCCTGTCTTGAACTTTAAATAAATGTAATCATTCAGTATATTTTCTATCCTGTCTGGCTTCTTTGGTCATGATTTTTGTGAGATATATTCACATTGAATGTTGCTACAGTTTGTTCATTTATGTTGCTATCTGGCATTTTTATTAAATATACCAAATTTATCCATTCTACAATTGGGTTGTTTCTAGTTTGGGGTTATTATGAATAAAGATCTGTGAATGTTTCATTTACATGTTTTTTAGTTCAGGTATGTCTTTATTTTGTTGGATATATATCTAGGAGTAACACTATTGTGTTTCTATGTGTATATTGTTTTTGTAGATGCTGCCAAATAGTTTCCCAAAATGATTAGTCCAATTTTTTTTTTGATTAGGCCAATTTATATTCCCACCAGCAACAAGAGTTTTAGTTGCTTATATAAATGTACAGAAGTATATTTACTCTGCTTAACAATAATTACTTCTGTGGAGTGTGATGAGGGAAGAATGGAGGGCTATATAGTTTTTACATTTAAGTACTTACTGTTTTTTTGTACAGTGGTAGTATCATAGCCAATGAGGTTTATTCAACATGCGATTATTGCTAACTGAAAACTTTTCCCAATACCCCATCATGACGACTTGACATATAGTTGGCATTGGCAATTTTTGACAGTCTCTATGAAGACTGAATAAAAAAATAAAAGTAGCCCTAACTGGTTTGCTCAGTGGATAGAGCGTCGGTTTGAGGACTTAAAGGTCCCAGGTTCGATTCCGGTCAAGGGCATGTACCTTGGTTGTGGGCACATCCCCAGTAGGAGGTGTGCAGGAGGCAGCTGATCAATGTTTCTCTCTCATCGATGTTTCTAACTCTCTATCCCTCTCCCTTCCTCTCTGTAAAAAATCAATAATATTTTTAAAAAATAAAAGTAAAAATTCAGTACAGAATTGGTTTGGAATATTCTGGGAGGAGTTGATGCCTCAGGTCCTCTCTTCGGTGTCCTTTCTACAGGGCAGCTTGAGTATCCTTACAACATGGTGGTTGGCTTCCCCCAGAATGAATGATTCAAGGAGATTGTTAAATGAAAGTTATGTCCTTGGAAGTAACATAGCATCAGTCCCACCATATTCTATTCGTTAGATGTGAGTCACAGTAGAGGAAGAGAGCTTCTCTTTTCCAATAGTTTCTATTTTCTTTGCCAGGTTAGGGAACTTTTCAGTCATTATTTCTTTAAATAGGTTCTCAATCCCTTGTTCTCTCTCTTCTTCTAGTTATCCCAATGATGCAAATGTTGTTATGCTCAATGTTGTCCCAGAGGTCCCTTACACTATCCTCATTTCTTTAATCCTTTCTTTTTTTTTGTTTTGTTTGGGTGTTTTCTGCTACCTTGCCTTCCAAATCACTGATTTAATCCTCTGTTTCATCTAATCTCCTGTTAATTGCTTCTAGTTATTATATTTTTATTGATTTCAGAGAGGAAGGGAGAGGGAGAGAGATAGAAGCATCAATGATGAGAGAGAATCATTGATCAGCTGCTTCCCGCATGCCCCCTACTAGGGATCAAGCCCGCAACCCTGGCATGTGCCATTGAGTAGAATTGAACCCAGGATCCTTTAGCCCTCAGGCCAAAGTTCTATCCACTGAGCCAAACCAGCTAGGGCTCTAGTGCATTTTTAATTTTAGTTATTGGTCTTCATTTCTGACTGGTTCTTTTTTTATGGTTTTTATGTCTTTTTATGCTTACTAGCTCTTTGTTGAAGTTCTCACTAAGTTCCTTGAGCATCTTTATAACCAGTGTTCTGACCTCTCTCCCTTTCCCTTCCTTTCTGAAATTTATTTGTAAATTTTTATTTGCTAGGAATTTATTTCATTGTGAAGCAGCAAGTGTCAGATAAGTAAGGATAAGTGTTAAATAGAAAGTGGGAAGTGGGAAGAGATACAGTATTGACTCTAAGTAGACTCTGATAAGTTAAGAATAGATATTATTAGCCTTAGAGAAAACACTGAAAAAATAATAGCTAAGAAGCTAGTAAAAAATAAAACATTAAAAATATTAGATTATTCCATTTAAATAAAATTCTAAAACAGACAAAAATAATAATACTAGAAATTACATCAGTTGCCTGAGATGGGGCAGTTGTGGAGATTGACTACATAGGGACACCATGGAACTTCTGGAGAAATGGGTAATGTACACCTTGATTGGGATGGTAAGTAATATAAATGTGTATATTTGTCAAAAGTTATCAACCTGTATACTTAACATGTATGACTTCTGTTGTGTATAAGTTATGCCTTAGTAAATACTTTTTTAAAGTATTGTGTCTTTGACCCAGTAAATACACTTGGTGACTTCAGCTTTGGGAGACATCTGTACTTTTTGCTTGCCAGACATCCCTGACCTCATCTTTTGGTAACACCACTTGATTTTTTTCGCCCCCCTTAGGTAACAACCCCTTTCCTATTGTATGTAATCTTGGTGAATAGTCAATTATATTGCCTTGTCTTCCCTGGTCCAACCTCACCAATCAGACTCCCTATTCCTGGAATTTGAATCTTGAGTCATGTGGTCCACAGACCAAAATTGGTCCATGCCTATCACTGCTGTACTTTTCTCCTTTTGAATCTTAAGATGTTCTTGAGAGATTTTTGTCTCCATCCTTAAAGGTACTCTCTGATACATTGGAACTATCAGTCCCTGTAACAGGCTGTCAGTAGCCATTTCTGGGAGGTTGACTAAGGCTCTTAGGCACACAGAAATGATTCTGTTGTTCTGAGCAACTCAAAGCCCTTCATAGATGCTGGTTTCCCCCCAGGTAATTAAAGACAGTCATTCTATTATTCCCATATCATGCTGGGGGGCCTGTGATGTTATCAAAGACCCATCTGTGTGGGCCTATCAGGCAGCTGTGCCCACTGTTCATTCGTACTGCCTTTCTGGACTCTACTTATGAAAGTAAACCCTCTGCACTCAGATGCTCCCAAATCTTTTTTTTTTTTTTTTCATTCCTACTCTAGGACCCATGCAGAGGGTGAGGATAGTGGTAGTGAGGAGCAGGGTGTAAGGTACTTCCTCTATAATCACATTCCTATACTTTCTACTTTGGGCTTTCCCCCTTCTTCCTCCTTTCCAGGGAAACTGGCTGGTGTAAGGGATGGGGAAGCTCTATTTATCAAATTTACCGTATTGTCTTTGCATAAGTGTTCTTTCTGTTTCCCTTCAGGGCCTAGACTTTTGAAAAGCAAAA